TAAGTATACTGATGATTAGTGCGGCTTCAAGTATACTTAGAGTTAGTATATTTAATATTTTTTCACCTGGGTTCATTAATTTTGAACCTCTCATCTTATTAGTTCATTTTTAAAGAAGGTAGGTATAAAAAATGTAAAAAGAAAAAAAGCKAATCATACTTGTATCACAATTAATAAACATCAGTGATGATCCTATCAATAGTATCCAATAAATATTCCATTTTTGACAGCCTCTTTTTTTGAATGTTTGCCGTTGCCAGAGTTTGTGAATTCTTGCGCATGCGCCGTATTGTCCGCGAACATCAAACAACACGTCCGCTCTGCTTCCTTGTTCCCTGTGTTTACCTCCTCAGCATGTTTGTCCACAATGGAGGTTTTTCGGTTGTGTACGTGTGTTTTAGTTGCCGCTGTCACGTCGCTGGGCTCTTCAGCGGGTCGTGAAAACACGAAGACTTTTGAAACTCACTCAGACAWAAACAATAGCACTGTCCTGGGTGATTTCGAGACGTTTAGAAAAAAGTTTCGCCGTCTTCACGAAGTTAGCAACGAGRAATTTCTTCTTCGTCAACATTACTTTCAGGTAAAAGAGGATGCTTTAATCTGTCATATCCGTATTCACTATCATAAATTACGCTATTTCCTGCGTAATAAGATTAGAAGAACAAGATAAATTTGATCTCATGAGATGAGGTCGTTTAAAAATACATATTAGCACATTAGCATTTCATATTTAGTTAATTGTCATTCATTATCCTAGTTCTAAGTGGTTAAATAGAAAGTCAGCATTTCACTACCTCATTCATAGTTAATTATGTTTTTGTAATAGACTCAGGCTAATAAGTTGTTATAATAAATATCAAAGTTTTGTTTTAAAGAATAAGCTACTCCATCATGCAACTTAAAACAATTATTGAAAATTTATGCTATTCAGAGATTATGTAGGTGTTGTTCAWATTAGTTGGAGACCTCAGTGAGATCAACTAAACAATGGTGGAATAAAAATAGTGACTTTAATCTTTGTGTTGGCCAATGTAATCAAGGTTGGCAAATATAGGTTCCTTATTTTTACACATATATCTTTGTATAGTAGATCATTCTGCTTTGCATTATGGTTMAGAACCGTCCATATGCACTGTACGTAGCCCACATTCAGATATTTTGATTATGTTATGCCAGAGTTGTAGTTTCAACAGTTCATTCTGATGGCTGCAGCTGCGGCTGCCCTCCACCCTGTGCTGGCTTTCCAGTTAACAGTATGACAGCTGATGTGTTGTTTGTGTTATTGCAGAATGCTACACTGCGACATATATACCTGAACTCATTTTCTACAGAACCACAGTCTGCCAGGTATGGCATCAACCAGTTCTCTGACCTCTCACAGACGGAATTCAGGGGTAAGATGAAATGTTATGTTCTGTGTCGGCTTGCAGAATGAAATTAGCCGCATGTACTGGGTTTTTTGCTTACAGGAAATTGAAAGAAATAGCTGAAGTTTTTCATCAAGTCTACTTGCTTATTATAAGTTTGTTCTGTAAAGTTTTTCCTCATTTTATTTGGCCATCTTGGAACTGTTTTGTTGCTTTCGTGCATCTTTTGCATTCAGTAGTGACTTTGAGTTCTGTCTTTTCYCACAGATATTTACCTGCGAGCAGTAGGAGGCACAGCTCCTGTCTTCTCTGGACAGACTATAAAGGGGCTCCCCGCCAAGTTTGACTGGAGGGACAAGGGGGTGGTGGCGCYGGTCCAGAACCAATTAGCAGTAAGGTTAATGCATATAGATGAGATTTATATATACTGACTGAAATCGCTGTCAGATGAAGTTATTGACATTGATTATTTAATCACAATTCAATGTTCTTCTGGGAAACTTTTGGTCCCTGGATTCATTTAAACAGTACTTGAACAGGTTGTGCTCACATATAGATTAATGCAGCCCAAGCATCCCCGCACTGCTMCTGCACTCCCTGATGGGATCCATCTAACACAACTTTAGACAAGTAGTTTTAAGGTTTAGGAGATTTTATTGCAGAAAATTGAGTGTTTTAATCAAATAAGAAATAAATTCTCACATATGCAAAATTTCTATCTGGTTTTTAGAGCCAAAAGCTTAATGGAAACTCTGTCCAAAATGCTATTTGATGTGATGTTGGATTTYTTAGAACAGATGGTGATATTTTTCTCAGTTGGCCGTTTAAACGTGGCTGAGGTGAAAAGAATTCAGACTATGCTGGGTTCAAATCAGCGAAGGCGAGCAAAACTTTTCCCCGAATCCTACCACCTGCCACATCTCCGCATCRTCTTTGCATTCCTCCAGCTGCAGCGCGCTCCACGACTCACCGCGAGTGTCAGTGGTCGTCTGACTCGGGCTCGCTGCACGTTCTGAATGGGGGACGTGGTGTCGAGACAGCACTCGCTGTGGAGTCKAAATTAGTTGAATATTCGTCGTAACGTCTTTATTTTTGCAAAAGAAAAGCAGTTATAGAACAGGCGTGACTCGCCGGATTATAGGTTTGCCATAAAGTTGATGTTTAAAATAAATCATGATTCAAAATGAAAATAAACGTACGAGAAGTCCTCATTTAATTTCCACAATCTGGTTTCACTTTGCTATCTCCCCTTCTTGCTTTTCCACTTCCTCGTGTCGGGAAAATATTCATGCATGTAGGTCAGGGTTTTCGTACAGGTGCACATATTCTCACATCGAATTTGTCTTTTAGGTGTTGGTTTGTGGCTCCGGTGCGAATATAAGTGAAGTCCTTCGTGATGCTAATCAACTAACAAGTACCTAATGAACATCTATTTATAAAATCACCCATTTCAGACTCAAACGTTCACTAATTAAACAGTAAAGTTGGTGAGGTTGTTGTTTGACAGTGTTTCCTCACTTCTCAGTTCCAACGCCCGTTACTGCTTTAATCGTGGGGCAGAAAAGCAGAAGGCCCGAGGCGCTCGAACTCTCGTCTTTTTCCCAAACAATAATTGACACCTCATGTGGCCGTACCACTGCGAATGCAAGTTTCCTCGTTTAAAAGAACCAGGATGTRCGTGAAAGCATGAACCGTTTTTATTTAAACAGTTAACTAGCTTCCRGGCACAAGACAACTCGTATTTCACCGGAAAGTTTACTCCCGTTAAAGGATTTAGCCGGCGWGTCACAACACAACACCACAGCTGTGGCAACTCTCGAACTAAGATTTATGAACGAGAACAAAGTGGATTTTCCCTTTTCCRCCAAATCAATGTTGGTCTTTCAGTGTTCATATGAAAGTCAAACATTCAGCTGAAGTGGGTGATGGACAAAATAGTTTTGCGGGCGCTTGGGGGGGAGTTCGGTCATTAAAGAAAAGTAATGAAACGACGACAAACCAAGCCTCTGAGATTTAAGCTCGGCGAGCAGAAAAGACCTGGGATATAAAAAGGAGAAGGTTAGTGAGACGGAGATGTTGCATGTTCTTTATGAGGGTTCACTTTTTGCTCTCTTTGTCCTTTATCTCTTTAGTAAGTCAATTTGCTGCGAGGGATGATATTTTCGCTTTAAAGCTTTTGTCCTCAGGGAGAGACATAACCTATACAGGAGAATGCTGCATGATAACATGGTGWATATTTCACTCTCTTGAATACAGGGAAAGTTTGGCGCTCCTGGGAGAATCTGCATTGCCCCTTTTCCACTAGTGCCACTTAGTGTAGTGTCGGAACGGTCGGTGTAGGTACGGGTCGGACCGGTTGGTTTTCCACTGATGTTCCAGTCCGGTTCCAATGGGTGTGTTTTGGGCGGTTGGTGGAGGTGGGTTTTAGGTATTTTGAATAAAGATTAATGGGCAAAATGAGAGATGGAAACATTTGATGAATAACTTTAGAAATTTTAAACATTTGCAAATAGGGCTGCCACGATTATTCGATTAATCGACGACTAATCGATTATTAAAATAATCGATGACTAATTTAATAATCGATTAATCGTTT